GTCTCTATGCAGAGAGTGAATTCATACAGAAATCCTAAAGAACCCTAAATAACACCCAGAACAAGCGTAGTTGTTATGCCCCATCCCCCAGAGGGAGCTGGCTCCAGGGCAGTAGGCAGACCAACACCCAGAGATGCTTGAATATTTCCTTCACAGAAAATGGCAGTACCAGAGGAAAGCCTACTCACATCCACCCAAACGCTGTACATTCAGAGACTACCTATAACACCTAATAAATGCTACATGAGCAGCTGTTTAAATGTTCTGCATAAAGAATAATGACAGGAAAATAGCTCGTACAGGTTCATAACATACGCAGTTTTCCAACAACCCTGATCCACCGTCAGCTGAATGCACAGACAGAGGACTCACAGAGAGGGATGGTCAACAGGCAGTCCCACACCCCTTATTCACAAGGATGCATCTGCAAACTCAGGCGACCTGAAATGGGAGAAGAATCTAACAAAATAAGACTGCTCCTATATGCCTAGACGAACTTATAAACCTGGAGTAGTAAGAGATGGGGGATACAAAATCAGACCAGCTAGGCTGTGCGTCACATCACTGCAGGCTCTCTGCTCTTGTCATGACGAAGGCAGAGAATTCTTAAAGGAAGCACTTCGTAGTTTGTCATGGGCATATCCGGATCTCCAGATTCTTGTGCTTTGAGTCATTATAAAGTAAAAAGGCTGCTGGAGCACAGCATGGCAATAATGCTAATAACTGACAGAGTTACCAAGTGACTAGGAGGTAGGCAGCATATACAGAGTGGATACACCAGGAGAAGGGGCCACATCCCAAGCTGACGGGCCAAGACGTCATCATACTAGACAAAATGGCATGAACTTATACGTCATGATGGTTTCCTTTTGGAACTTTCCAATTAACATTTCTGGACTTGTATTCTAACCGACCATGGGTAACACACAGTAAAAATAAAACCACAGGGAAGGGTTGGGGAGGGTCCTGTGCATGAATTCACAGAAGTCTGTACGACATAAGATCAACACATAAAAATCAATGGCTACAACCTGCAGCAGTAATTTAAAAGTTAACAAAAGTTTTAAGCTGATTTAGAATACTATCAAGAACAAAGTACCTAAAAATCAATTCTATCAAAGACATGTGAGGTCTCCATGCTGGAAACTACAAAACCCTGCTGAGAAAAATGAAAGAGAACTCAAACAGATGCAGAGATAAATCACACCACAAATCGACAGAGTCAATACCAAGAAGCTGTTAAGCAGCCAAGACTGGAAACGGACACTTCTCAATCAGATGTCAACAAAAAGCTGTGCAAAATCAGATACTAAAAACTGGCAGGATAATGTGCAAAGTTAAGAGACCTAGGGCCAGGCGGGAGATGAATGGAGGCCTTGGTGGGGGAGGGGGTAGGATAAAAATATACTGTGTGTATGTATATATATTTCTTGAATAAATAAAAATATAATTTTAAAGAACAAAATTTAAGATCTAGAAGCTTGCTAGAAACATAGCACAGTTGGTATGGAGTGTCTAACAAGCACAACATCCCAGGCTTGACACCCAGCTCCTCATAAACCAAGTGAGGTGGTGGCACTCGCTTCTAGTCACAGAATTTAGCAGAAGTTCAAAGTCATGCCAATCAGGGCTACATGAGATCCTTTCGCAACAACAACAGAAGCTGGCTGTGAGCTCAAAACCAGTCTGGCCTAGAGAGCAAGATACTGTCTCGAAGGAAAAACTGAAGGAACATGCCTGATGAAGCACTTGTACCAAAACCCATAAAGCAGTAACAGAACAGAAAAGAAAGAAAAGGAGGAAAAGAAAATTCGAGTTAAAATGTGCCAAAGGTGGTAAAGAACAAATCTTAAAAGTCCAAACCACAATGAGAGGATACTTCCTACCTACCCGAGGAGCCAAAAACTTAGAAACGGACAGAACCAAGTGGTAAGTAAACTCTCACCAACATAAATGTTTATATGCCAGGGAATCAGACACTCCTTACCTTGGAATTTACTCAAGGAAAATGAAGATGGAGGTCTCGGCAAGGTTGGCGCATGAGTCCACAATGAGCTTTCCAGAGAGTTCTAGATCTGGCTTGGGATGATCTCTATATCCCAGGATGCTTTTGTCGAAAGTTACTGAACTTGGGGGTTGAAATCTAAATGTCTCTATAAAAAATTTTTAACTTCAGCTTTTTAAACCGGCAAAATAAAAGTGGTGAATTCTGAATATTGTTGAGGTTTGAAATGTCTCATAAGATTACCTACGCACATGTTGCTGGCTGCCCTCCATATCGGTTAATATATATATATATATGTATGTATATATACATATTTACATATTTATGTATGTATATATACATATATACATATTTA